TATTTTTGTAAAAAACAACAACAACAAAAAACTAAACTAAATAAGAAAGTGTCTTTCCCATTTACTAGAGGAGAACAATAATTATTCTAGGTTTTCTTTTAGTACAGTTACACAAAGTCCTGGTTCTACTGAGCCACTCAGCTCTCAGGAGTCAAGACTTTATGGGATTCTTTACAAATGAAATGCATTCTATGAAAACCAGAATCATTGACATCCTCCCCTGAAGAGGCCTTTAAAAAATGAGGGAGCACCAGAGGTAAGCATAAAACCTTTTTTTTTTTTTCCAGTTGAGCTTTCTGAATTTTTAAAACATTATTTTCATCTTGCCTTCAACTTAGACCCAATTCCAACCAAATTATTTAGGAAAGTGTTTCCTTTGATTACCATCTCCATTTTGGATATGATTCATTTATCCCCAGTTAATGGATAATTACCAGAGACTCTTAAGGTTGCTGTAATAAAACCATTACTTAAACCCTTTTCTCAATCAAGATGACTTGGAGGGGACCTATTATGCTTCCTTGAACAAGGTGGGATACGTCGATGAGCTGTACACAACATGTTCATTATTTTTTTTTGCACAAAATAATTCTCATGTAAAATTTCACCTGCTGAGTTCTGTCTATTTTGAGCTCCTTTCAGAATGAGCTGTTTTACGGCTACGTCACCAATATGCAAATAAGCTACTGATGGCCATACCTAACTTATACTATACTCTGACCTTATAAATGTGAAAGTGGCTGCAAAACCAGAAATGCAACTGTACAACCATACATCTTTGACCCTGACACAGACCGAAAGACGTGGAGCATCCTACACAACTATAAAGGACGCATCAAGCGGTGTCCTTTATAGTTAGACATATTTAGTCTGCAGATTTGCAACAGTAGGATCAGATCTTTCCTTCAGCTGAGGTTTTTTGGCAAATCCTGCCAAAACAGTTGTGTTTTTTTCAGCAGTTGGTGATGGGCTGGGCTCAGCTAATTCTGACTTTGAATGATTGTAACATTAAATTGGCCTCAAGTAATAAATAAAGAACCTTGGTGGTATCTTTGACTAGAACAAATTTCTAGAATTTATTTATTTATTTCACTTCCAGAATATTGACAAACTTTTCAGCATCATTCCTGTTCAGGAATGATGCTGAAAACAAGTCAGTGTATTTGGGAGTTCAAGGTTGGACTATTGTAAACTATTACTAAAAAAAAGTTAAAAAAAAAGAAGAAATGAGGCTACAAGCCTTCTGCTTATCTAAAGCATTCTGATAAAAATAAATAAAAAAATAAAATACAAACAATGAAATTTCACTTTCCAGTGGCTCCCTGTTAGATTTAAAATTCTCTTTATTGATAACTAAGCTGTGATATATCATAACTCTGACTGTGTTATAGGTTTACAACAGAGCACTCAGACTGCAGCTTCCCTGGTTACTTTCTATCATTTGTAAAAGTAAGAATGGGAAGCAGATCTTTTACTCTCCTGTGGAAGAGAAGTGTGACAGTATGTCAGCATCATTCACTTCAGACTGTTTTGCATAGATTTTCCAACCCACATGGCAAGTAAAACATTTTGAAAATCCATGTTAAGGATGTTGAACCATGTTGAACGTATCAGCTAGTGTTCTGTAGCATTTACTGTTAATCTGAATGGTGGTAACTTGCTGATACATTCTGATTTCTGCTGACCTGGCTTTCCACTCACTCCCTAATGTTGTCGAAAAGTTCAAACACACACAGTATTAAAATCAACACAAAGAAAGAACATTCACCACTTTCGCTACACTTTTTTTTTTTTTTTTTTTTGCTGCTTTCTGTGCTCTCAATACAGTCTGCCTGAACCTTTCAATTACATTTCAACCTGTGAGGCTGCATCTCCAGCAGAAAATTTCCTGCTATGAGGTAAATCTGTGAGCTGTAACTGAGAAAATGTCCAGAAGAAATGTTTTCATGCATTCTCTTGAGTATTTCTCACACTGATAAATCCTACTAAGTTTTCATGGCATTTTGTAGCATTTCCAAGACAGTTAGGATCTGAAAAAGTTTAGTTGCAGGTAAAATAAGGACAGTCTGCCAGTATAAGGGAGAAATCACACACACACAAAACAAGAAGAAAAAAAAAATAATAATATATATATACTTTTTTGTTTTTCTCTCTCGTTTTGTTAGGATTAGGGTTCCCTTTCTTACAAGGCTACCTTATACATTTTGTACATTTTTTTGTGTATTTTCAGTACTATACTGCATCTTGCATTACTAAAGGCTAACAGAAATCTAATCATCTGACTTAAAGCTATGAAGAAGAGGCAGAAAAATGTTTGTCCAAACACTCAGGGAGATATATTGAGGATTTTTTTTCTCTAGTAGATTTTTCTGCTTTTCAAAATCTATGACCTGTTTTTTTTTTTATGCTAAAGGAGCACTAGAGATATTCAAGGAGTTTTTCCTCTTGTGATATTTGCTCACAGGTGTTTTCACTTGTCCCAACTAATTACACCCTCTTCGTGAGAGAGGAACGGTTGCTGTTACATCTGAGTCTTATCTTGATTTATGTTTACATTAGAAAAAAAATCTATGTCTACAGTGTATGAATGAAACATATCTTTTTAGTTTTACACTTTTGAAAGTGCTATGCGGGTGTAAAAAGGTATGGTTTTTCAGTGTATTATCATTTGTCTTTCTTTATTTAGCTAGTGGGGTTAAATTCTTCAGTGACCAAAATAGCATTGAAAAAGCCAACCTTTAAATAAAATTGACAAATGTGAGGATTTAGGACTCATTCAGAGGTTCAAACTCAGATTTTTCTCTGCAGTAAGGATGCTTGCTTTGATGTTTTCTCTTGTTTATACTTCAACCTGAATGCAGGTGCATCTCTACAACAACACATTGCCCCTATAATTGTTATGGTATGAAATCCCACATAATTATCTATGTCAGTTTATATACATGCATTTTTATATTTTTTATTAAAGTCAATTTTGCTTACCCAGTATGCATTTCCATTCTGTGTGCATTCCCATCAAGCCTCAACATTCTTGAGTATGTGAGAGTAAATATACCTGCATTTTAAGCAGTCTACTTGTGGTGCCCCTTGTTTCTTCTTATGCATATCAAAACCTGAATTGCTCACATTGCCCACTGAGTTGGGGACTGCTGATGTGCAGTCTTGAGTTTGACATTTGCCCTTAGTCATCTGGGATGTTTGGAAAGAAAAGGGAAAAGCTGAAGGGTGTTTCTTAGACCAAGAAGGATTTGTGGTTCTATAGCTAATTAACAGTTGCGTCACTTTCAAAATTTCAGCCAGCTGTATGATCCTTTGCTATGGTGAAATTAGGCAAAGAAGATATTTTGGGATTCACTTTCTGAATTACAGTCCATTGAAGGCTGGGGCTTTTCTGGGTCAACAGTTGATTTGTTTCAGTGATAATGCACTTTAAATTATTTTCTCATTTTTGACTTGGAGGCTATTTTTTCTTACATTATTCATATATTATTATATTTTTAACCTCACTTATAGCTAGCAAATTAAGTCTATTAATCTATTAAAACCTTCAGTATATAGTTGTTGATTTCTGGCTTATAATGGTTAAATCCAAATGAAACATTTGTTCATTGCCTCAAGTAACAAGGCAATGTTACTTGAGGCAATGATGTTTTCTTCCTTCAGTTAAAGCTGTAGTGAAACATGGATCTTAAAACTTTTATTGTTTTATATATGTATTTTCTGCAATCTAATTGTGGATTGAGCAGCCAGGTTCTTTATTTTAATGTTTTCTCAACTCATTCATTAGCTTGCTGTGTGAACGACAAAGCTAATTAATAACAGTGTAACTTATCCAATGACACAGTGACAGCTCTTGCTTGCTGACCAGCTGTAAGCTGTCAGACATCTTTGTCTCCATTATCTTTTAGAAAAAAAAAGATCCAGCAGTTGTAAGCTTACATGGCTTAAGACTCTGCATGAAATCACAACAGGGGAGAACCTCACTCATCACGGCATCAAACAGGAAGTACCGGAAATCATTTTCACCTTGTATTCACCTCTTACTGGGCTCATAATTGCAACAGATAGGTATGCTCAGAGCCTACAGTCCATTACCATATACCCGTGGACAATGATTAATGGTCTGTTGAGAATGAACAGCAAATGGATGCTCTCATGCAGTGTCCATAAGCTCATATACCACCAAATATGTGGCGTTTTTGTAAGGCCTCTTGTTCTCCAGACTGTTGAGGGAATACATGACGGCATACCAAGAAGGAAGCACCGCAAAGCTGTACAGTCTGATTCTTAAAATTTAAGTGCAAGAGTATTGTTTATGATCATTTTAGTCACGACCACATCACCACATTAAACCAACTCTACAGAATGTGACCATTACTAATGAAATTAGCATTGTTTAGGAAGAAAGAAACTCTTTGAACATCTGTGGGAGGTACTGAGATCAAAAGCTTGCCATGGTAATGTGTACTCTATTGCATGGATTCACTGAAGCTTCAAGTTTCTGTGCTACTATTTGGCCTTGTGTCATTATTCCCTTTGTCAATCCCCTTAAATTGTCCTTCTTTCTGCCCTCCCCTCACGCACAGACGCTGTAATTGATTGCCGGTCACCTGATGCACATTTGTCATCAGCTCTTAAGGAAGTATTATCTCCTGAATCCTTTGCTCTCTGCACTACCATTGTGAGTTTATTATCTGTTCTGCTCCTGCTTGATCATCTGTGGTCTTAGGTGGCCTTGCCTTTACAGATAACTTGCTCTTAAGTGGTTTTAGTTTTGTTCTGTGTGTGACGAATAGAAGAGTTCTAAGGCTTTGAGTCCACTTCAGCCTTTGAATTTTGCTTTTGGATCCTTTCTTTTCTTACACACCATGAAACCACTGAGCTGACAGTCTAACATTTTCCATGAAAAAATAAAATGCTGCAGATGGAAAAAATAACAGGTGAATTAAAGGTTTTATTTTTCTGTAAAAAACAAAACAAAACAAACATCTTAAACTCACCGATGGGGCTGGCTTTCCTCCTTTTGCTGTGCAGACAAGAGTGAAATTCTGAGCTTGGTATCGACTGAAGGGGGCTGGAGTGTTCTCAGCCAGCACTGATATGTTATTTGGAGGAGCTGTGAAGGACAGAGGGAAATATTGGTGACACAACAATTTAATAACACATGTCACATTGATAAAAAAATAAAAAGATGGACATAACCTCTCCATCATATAGTTTACCAGTGGTCAGCTAGTTAACTTCTACAGCAGGAGTTTATAACCTGCAGCTCTGGAGCATCATGTGGCTTCCTGGGTGTTTCACAGTGGCTCTTAAGTTTGATAATGGATTATGTAGAACTGAGAAGGTTTGTTTTTTTTAGGATACATTTTAATAAACAGATTTATATTAGTTTTTGTTAGGTTTGGTTCAATATCTGCATAGGAACTCTACAATTAGGCTTCAAACACCTTCATTTTCCATAAACACAGAACATTTGTCATCCAGAATAAAATGCCTGTTTTTTGTTTCCATTAAATCGGCTGATTGCGATTTTGATGTTAAACAAAACAATCACAACATTGTTTCACTTAACACAAAATAGATTAAATTTTAAACAAGCAGGTAAGCATTTTAACAGTCTTAGGCTGTTTTTGGTTAACTTTAAGACGTGAATTCGTTTAATAATAATACATTTTACCCTTTATAACTCCAATTGAAATCTCAAAGGGCTCTATTTACTAGACTCAAGGATAAAAAAGGCTATGTCTTCAATTTGTTGACTCCTTATCTAAAGCATGTGTATATATAAAAGAACTTTCATAATAAACAGAAATATTTTGACATTTAATGACTAAATGCAAAATACTCATTTAGATCACTAAAATGTAAAGGAAGATCTCAAAGTATGAAATGGAGATGTAAGTTTTCACTCTGCTCAGATATTGTTTTCACCAGGCTTTCATCCTCTGCTCAGAACACTTTTGTGCTTTTCTGGGATATTATTTCACTTGAGATTAAGCTGTGAGATTTTACTTACTACAAAAGGCCCAAGCTCTGATCACAGTAGGAATTCATGTAACCAACTGTATAGTAAGGCAGTCATGAGGTGAGATAAGGATATCTTTTGAAGTTACGATTTATGAATACAAGTGTTGCGCTTTAAGGCACAGATGCTGACAGAAGAAGGTCATGGAGGGAGTGGTGCCTTTTTAATGTGTCCGTTTTTATGAGTAAATCTATCAAACACTTTTAAACAGACATGCCAAAGCAATTAATTGATTTAAAGAAGGTAGGGGGTTTACAACAGGATTCAGCTGCCGGCCTGGGTGCCTCTGTGTTTCCACATCTCTTAATTGCTTATTGATAGAACTCATACGGTTGTAAATTAACCTTAGAACACTCCATTAGCTTACTGACAAGCCTGCTTCATCGTGGCATATGATTAGCTGTCAGTGGTCTGCTTCTGAGTTGTCATGCTTAAGGATTTAACACTGAGGTTATGCATACTGCAGTTCATCTAGCAGAGTCAAGTTAGGCCAATACATAAAATGCATTATAGAGTGATAAACAATGTGAAACAATATCAATTTCCTCAATTCTAATTGGAGAAGTTTTCTTTCTAGAAACTCCAGCAAATGTGCAGTCATCATTGTCCCTTAGTCCAATTGGCAAACCGTGATGTAAGCTATTTAGACAGTGTTAGCATTTATAAATTTAAAACATCAAGGTTTTGTATAAATATGCAGCATTCTATACATTAAAACAAGACATTGTAAGTTAATTAGTTTTTATTAAACTGATGACTTCTACTTTAATGATAAATATTGACGCTGACTCGCCTGTCAAGCTAGTTGAGGAAAGCTGCACATTGATCAGGGTGCTGTGTTGAATTTAGCCAATGGGAGGGGGGCACCTAATGGGAAACTAAGCCTGAGACAGCAATAAGCCCTGGTATAACATTTGACATGATTAATACTGAGACCTACTGTGTGTAGCATGCTATTTGCAAACACAACAGGCCTGTACAGGATTAAGATGGTTGGCTGTGACGATGAATTCTAAGCTTTTCATACTTCATTAGACAGTAGATCTCTCCTCTCCACTAGTTAGAGATTCAGCTCCGTTTTCAAATAGAATTGGATTTACTAAGATGGTCACACTTTAAAGCTAATTTGAAAACAACACATAAATATTTCAGTTTTTCAATTAAGAAGGGTGCAGTTTGATGCAACAGCGTATGCTGATTTAGTCCTCATATAGACTGGAGAAAGAAAACCACAGTCAAACTAACACTAATCTTCATGTAGGTATGATGAGGGGGAAAGTGACAAAAAAACAGAGAGGGTCACTCCACTGATTTACTTTCACCAGTCTATAGCTTTATAAATATCAATTTATTCTTTTTTCTGCTACCTCTCCCTCTCCCTCCCCAAACCCCAACAAATCTTGAGGTTGTTTCTGAGTGCTGCAGCTAAGTGTTTGATCATTGCTAAATCTAGTCTATATATCTTTTTTTAATTTTAGTTTTTAGTTTTCTTGTTAAGCTCTTTGTCTTGAATTGCTTTGCAGTTTCTGCTGGTTACTCTTCTTTGTAAGTCTACATTTCTTATAAGTGAATAAATAATTATTTTTTAAATAACTTTCATTAAAAAGCCTAAATTAACTTGCATCCATGATAAGTAATTACACCCCATATCTGACCTAACAACATTTTGAACAAAAGATCCTAGAAAAGGCTGTTTATCAAAAATAATTTGACAAATGACTGCTCCTCAGCCCGTAAGTGAAATTCCTGAAGTTGGCAGATGAAACTACTGTAAATGGTTTGATGCATGACTGCAAAAATGTCTATAAATAAACATGGCTACGGTGGATCACTTCTGGTTCCTAGGAGCCAGCATTTCTCATACATAGACAATGTTTGGAAGAATGACCAGTGGAGACTACATTTCCAGCAGCAACTCAAGAAATACAATCTTTCGTGCGAGCAACTGGTCATCTTCTACACTTATTATTCAGGCAGTACTGTGTTCCTCCGTCACTGTGTGGTTTGGCTTATACACAAAACAGAACAAGGCAGAACTGCAACAAGCGTTCAGGTCTGTAGAGACCATCCTTAGGGCTGAGATTTTCTCTGTCCAGAACTTATACAGCTGTATGGTCAGGAAAAGGGCAGCTAAGATCTCTGCAGACCCCACACATCCTCAACACAAGCTGTGAACATTTTTACCTTCAGACAAATTCTTCATAAAAATTGTCTCTCTGATGAAAACCCAACAGCCTGAGTAGACAGCCTTTTCCCTGTTGAACAAAACAAGCATATGTGACCTATTCTAACCTGCCTTTAAAATAAATGTTGGGTGTTGACACAGATATGTACATATTATTCTCTTTACTTTTAAATGCTCTGAACGAGTGTGACCGGAATCAAATTCCTTGTTGTTGTACACACTCTTGGCCAAAGAAGCTGATTTAGATTATGTATTTTTTTTAAATAAATAAATCTCTCCAGAATGTTACAATCAGATTTTTCAACACTCCATACGAGGTATAAGTATAGGTTTTAAATTAGTCTTAATATTGATGTACTTCTGGGTTGATTGATCTCAGTGCTGTGTGAAATGTTGACCAAGCCAAGCAAGAAAATAGGATCTTATTTGTCAGACCAGGATTTATTTGTGCCATTTGGCAGTTACAAATCTGAGCAAATAAAAGATCAGTTTGCTCAAGACACCATTCTGGGCAATAAATGCTCCCTCTGTCTGTCTGGACCCCCTTATGTCCACTGCTCACTATAGCTCCAGGGACCAGAACTATTCCGGATCATGTATCCTTAACCGATTTGTTGCTCAGTTATTCATCCAACTCTCTGAAAGCTTGGGATGAGCAGAAATCATCGACTTACTTAAAATCAACACAGAACATCAACTTCAATATTCCTATAAAGATCAAAGATTACTTTATCAGTTTATTTTCAACCATCTGTTTTTCAGTTTTAATCATGTTTATTACATATTACTCAAATGCTCCAATTTTCCTTTAATATATGTGTTCCATTAATGTATTTATAATATATTTTTTTTATTAGTTCCTTCCTTTTTATGAAAAGAACATTGAATTACATCATGTTTAAAAGGTAACTTACATTTGCTTGCCTATTTTTTTATGTGGTTTGTCAGAAAACATTCTTACTCTCTATCCAGTGTAATAACACAGATAAAGAGGAAGTCTGGGGTGATGGTCTGAATTTTTAAGAAAAAAAAAGTGAAAGATTTTTCCAACTATTGATGAATCACTCTTTTCAGCCTTCCTGGGCAATAACAACAATGAACAACTGTTTCATAGAGGAAAAGGAAGGGCTTTTTTAATGGCCAAAACGAGAGCCGTGTCCACATTATTAGCAAAAATCCAAGCATATATTCCCAGTGCGAGGACTCTGACCGGGCTGCACCCTGGCCATTGATCCGTTTTGTGATGTTAATGGACAGGATTTGAAGGCATAGTTGTGCAGAGGAGAGTCTGGTTTGAAAATCTCAGAATAGCGTTGAAAACATCAGTTATTTCCATCAGTCTTAGCAGCAACACTGATGTTCATGTTAAATTTTTCTTGGTCTGTCTCCTGTTTACCAACACCTGTTTTTGTTCTAAGTCTGTAAGCACTATTGTGCTGGTAATTTTCAAAGAGAATGTGAGAAGGAAAATATAAAACCTGCTAATGGATAAGTGGGGAAATCTGCAGCCTGTTCAATACCTCAAAGAAACCTCTACCCTTCTTAAGAAATATAAAACTCAAATTTAATCTATATGTGCTAGAAAACCTAAAACATATTTTTCTTTTCTCCTTTTATTCATATGTCCATTACATAACAGCATTCTTTGTATTTTAATAAAGTATTGCATTAACTTTGCACATTGTCATTACAATGTAAAAGAGATTCATTTCAAACTTTTGGACAAAAAAAGAAGAAGAATTAAAATAAAAGGATAAAAGTGAAACTACACATGTACGGCTTCCAATGAGTCTGAATGGCTCTTCATTTCAAAACATTCATAAAATTCAAATAGTTTCAAAAGGTACTATTTTACTCTCCATGTATATTACATATTCCTTTGGGTTTTTCTGCCTGAATACCC